TTCACTTTCACCTCTTCAACCTTCTGGATTATTTACTTTGACGTCAATGAAATGTGGTTGAATAGAGGTCGTGGTTTCTAACTTTGTACAGATTGCATTGTGATCTACTGATTTATATCTAGTTTTTCTTTTCATTATATGAATGCAAATATCCCAGAACTTTCTTCGTTTCCCCAATTACTTCTAATTGTCTCAGCGCATAGAGTATTTTGTTTCATTAAGTGTAAATATATGAGTTGTTTATACTTTTTGTGAAGATTTACTATCGTTTCTGTTCTTCTCATTCAACACTGAAATATTACTGTTAATTTCAAGTAATGACAACTCTGTATATTCTATGATGTTTTTCCTAATTCAGAAGAATCTGTGTGATATAAGATGAAATCGTATGAATCTACTGATCTTTTATTTCCTAAATGACAAACGAAAATATAAGTTTTTAGATTGATTATTAAGTAGTCTAATATAAATTCGAGTAAACAAATAAAGAATTCCCAGTAAAAAAATTATATGGAAATGAATAAATAAGGTTTATAATTATACATTCAGCTCTGATCCAAAAACTTTGTACGTTCATAGTGTAACTAAATTGTCTAAATCAACAATGAAGAGACAGTTGTTTAAAGAACAATCTCAATGCTAGAGCATAGATCACCGGTGGACTTATGATTGTTCAACGTTGGAAAGATTCGAACTAGAACAAAACAGATGTTCTATGCTTTTTACTCTTAAAATGCTTCTCACCAGATTTCGGTTCAGAAAAATACCGATCTTCAAGTTAAATTAACCTCCTCAAACCTATTTATCAAATAATATCTTTAATAACCACATCATACCTTTAAATTGAGTAATCACTGTGTTTTAGCCAATTCAGTCCATTAGTACTGACTAAATTTTATCAACTAAGTTGCAATATGGCTACTAGTCTAACTGATTCAACATTTTGTGTACTATGCTTTGATGTTAGATGATTACTATTCAGTGCTCAATCAGTATAAATATTTTGGAATTTTGGATCAGCAGCTGACCGAGGGTTTGAGTGATTATAAGTCGATCTTACCGACGAGTCCTAACTTCTACAAAACCCAGCTTTAGGGTATTTTGTGAACTACCACCAAACCACCTAACATCCTAAATGTTTGATAAGAGACTACTTAGTTCATTAAATACTGTGATTCACATGACATACCATAGAAAAAGGTGAAGAAGTAATAATAAATTCACTTGTTATTGTTTACTTGAATCTCCTTATTGATGTTTAGGACTGCAGTTGATCAGTCTCTTATTGGCATATGTGCATCCTGTGTGGATTGCCTCGATATTGCTTTAATTCACAAGTACTCTAAGCAAAGATGGGTAGTGGTTAGCAGTAGAATCCAGGACGCGCGTTTCGTCCTACTCGGGACTCGTCAGCAGGATGTACCGGCAGCCTAGGACTGATGTTCACTCCGGGACTCGAACTCAGTACCTTTTGCTTCAAACGCCATCGCGTTATCCAGCTGACAAGTTCCAAATAGGACTAAACGCACATCCTGGATTCCACTGCTAACCACCATCCATATTTGTTTATAGTACTCTTTAATGTTTAACATAATGGTTTACACTAAACTGGCCCAAAAATATAACAACTAATTCAATACTAAACTTGACTAATCTAGTCTATAATTCTTAACAAAAACTTGAACATTTTTACATTTAACATAATCACTTTACATGACCTAATCCAATTTAAATGATTATTTATATATTTACTGACCGATATATCTATGGAGTAGTGAATAAATTCAATACATTATGAAAATACATCACAACACTTTTGTTTATTATATAGAAACAAAGTATTCAACCTATATAATATTTAACATGATCCATTTATGAATTTATTAACAAATAACATATGAAAGATACATCATATCGGTCAATATATATAATTAGTCAATTGGAAAATAATAATATTACAATTAGAAGGGGTTTCGTGGAGATTGCAGTAATTTCAATAGTTGAAATCATCAGTTAGTTGAAGCTAGACCACCATCGAAAACCTGGAAGCACTGGACGGCCGTTCCATCCTATTGTGGGACTCCTCAGAAGTGCGCATCCACAATCCTGCTCGCGGGATTCGCACCCAGGATCTATCGGTCTCGCGCGCGAGCACTTAACCACTAGACCACCGAGCCATTGAAGCACTAGACCAACAGCCGTCCAGTGCTTCCAGGTTTTCCATGGTGGTCTAGCTTCAATTGACTCATGATCTCAACTAATGAAATTAATATTACAATTACTAGAATTATTGATAAATATTTAATGACGATTTTTAAAATACTTTTGATTTAAAATTTCAGTAAATATGTGAACAAAACCAACAAGACTTTCGAAAGTTCTTATCAAGTTGGACGGGAAGAGTTTGAGAAATGCTTATCAAGATACTTTATTGAATAAAGTAATTCTTTTCAATTTGATTAAATTTATAATATGTTCATGAAGACTCTGTGAACGCTTAACCTTTACACAACTAAGCCAGTATTCATTGGCGTTAAATTTTAACTTCAATCAATTCATGATTTTGCCTGTGGTGGATAACAGTCTCACATGGATTGAATTCCACTGATCACATGTTTTCACTAGAAATGACCGTCCAGTGCTTTCGAGTCTAGGTAAAATCAGTCCACAATTTCAATTGTGTATAAACTACAATTTCTACAAATCCCCTATAACTCTATAAAATCGAAAGTGATTTCTTTGTAAAATCCCTTGCAAAAACGGATTGCTTCAATCAAGGTTAAAGGATATCAATTGTTTCCATATAGTATATACATTCTAAACTGACCAATTCATGAATAACTTCGCTTAAATAGATCTACCTTTATATTATAAGAAAAACGGACAATGGAGGAAATATCATGCACAGATATTTCAATAGTAAATAACCAGTTACTATATTAATTAATGAAGAAAATCCACCGAGTATTTAAAATAGAGTTACCACGATGTTTAAGTCAGAAACAACAAATTTATACTGAAAAATGTTAGAATGATGAAGAATTTCGATCTTAGAAAACAGACGTTAGTTCCTAGTCTAGAACTCTTCAATGATGAATACCACTAAATCTAAAAAATTTTACATCAACTTACCCGGTAAAGGACTGATATTTCTACGATGTTTACAGAGCACTTGATTAATTTAAGTTATGAAACGGCCAAGCACATTTAACGACAAATCTATCATGGTCATTTTTGTTGTGGTTCCGCGCTCTGCTCTTATACCGTAACGGAACTGGAATCACCCTTCTTTACAATATTAATTCGTAAACATAAAATTATGGCAATCCTACCATGAAAATACCGGATCCTAACTACTGTATCCCATCATTAGGAAACATGTTAATTTGTAGTTATGCCACTTTTTTAGTGTACTTATATATTTCTTACACTGTTTACCGCAGAATGTGCTAATAAGAGGGATATCTAATAGGGTGCACAGTTCAACACCAAAATCTAATCACCGATGATGTATTTTCTTTAAATCATATGCTTCGCCTTATTAAAATCTTTGTGACAAATTTTTAGTGCAAACAATTCATGAATCATATCTTTCTAAATACCGTACGCCTTATATTTTGAAATGTTGAGTCCACTTTCACCAACCTGTTCATATCTGTAAATCAGTATGGATTGTCATTATTTTCAGAGTATGTATATACCACAAGAAATAATTTCATTAAGTTGTCTTCTACAGAACAATACTATTGCACAACAATTTCTAGCTGAAGTCATTACATGATGCCAAAACCCTTCAAATTTAGAAAGAACTCTAAATGAAATTTTCCTACAGATCCTGATGCACGGAAACCCTTTTTCATGTAATCAAGGTGACCGAAAATCCAAACATTTTAAGTACACAATTTTTGAGGTCATGAAATTTCTTGTCAGTGAGAAGTAGAATGCATCGAATGTTAGATGTTTGAAGTGTTCATTCCGACTGCTGTCAACTCGCATGTCTATTAATTCCATCCGTAGACAATGATTAGCTACCACCATTCCAGAAAATAAACCAGCCGACAAATTAAACTTTGTTCGAACTATGGAATCTCAAGAATGTTATCAAAATTTATTATGTAGCTCTGACGAGATATTTTGTATCCCTGATGTCGTTAAGTCCCACAGGTTGACTAAAAAGAGAAATAAGTTTACCTTGACATTCAAATCTTGAGTCTTATGTATATATATTTTACATGGTTCATAAACTACATCAGATAGTTGTACATAACACCGAAAATTAAAACCCTATAACTGTACACTCGGTTTTACTCAAGGATTAAGCCATCACTTAATACTATTTATTAACTGCTTAAACTCCAAACTACTGAATGACTCAACCTGGAATGTGGCTTCTATCTTGAGGTGATAGTCAAACTCACCTGTTACGATGAACAGAATGGGCTATATTAGGTTAAATATTAATTCATATTTTGCCATGCCAGTTGGGTAGTGGTAACAGACGCGCCAACTTAAGATCCGGAGGCAAAGTTATCCTCCCAACTGTAATGAGGTATGATGATAGCGAGGTGTTTCCATCGAACGAGTATATGCGGTGATAGTGACTTCCCATTTAAAAAGGAAGCAGTTAGAAAAGGTTGACCCTAAAAATAGCACACCTCACCCTGCCCTAAGGATTTCTGTCACTAAAGGTAAGGTCTTAAAACGAGTTAACCCATCAAAAACTACTGGTGAGAATGCCGAGTATAAACGACCTCAAGCACTTATATTTTCGGCTCTGCAGTTAGGTTTTCTGTCATTAGATTGGTCCCCAAAGACGTATTTTTACATGGTGTAAGCGACCGTTCTCATATTCCTAATGGCATCTCAAATTCATCGGTATTATTCCCTTTAGGTTTCACTTACAATTGAATTTTCCTATTTCTTGCCAGGCACATTACTGCAGTGAAGTTAGTCATGTTAGACACTTCTTCCGTTTATCAATATCACAAATTAGGAAATTTCAAAAAAAAATAACGCAAAACTGTATAAATTGAATAGTAAACTTTTAATCAAACAGTACATCTAATAAAAATGAGACATTAATGTAAATGACTTTTTGAGCAGTGTAAAATCAAAATGTTGTTCATATTTTATTTCAACAGAGAGAAATAAAAAATACTCAATGAATTCAGATTGTTCTTCAAAAAGATAAATTTGTAGAAAATACACTAACAAACAATAGATGAATAGGCACAAACACAAATACAGAGACCAAATGATGTATAAATGAATGAGTTCAAATGAGAAGGGGAAACACAAAAATGTCCTCTAGGCAGTAAAAATTAAGATTGATCATTATTCAATTATGGATTGATAGAATTAGATTTGAATTTATGTATATTTGACCAAACTACATTCATACAATGCCATTCTGCATGTTCACCGCATAATTTAGCATTTTCAAATGATGCACACCAAAACGATGGACCATGTGTACATCTATTATCAAGTCTAGAAGTTATTTTATGTGAGGATTTCTTTGAATCTGATAAAGTAATCCATACCTTAGTTTCACAATGCACTAAGGCTGCATTACCGCATATTTTAGCAATTTCTTTTGATTGACACCAATAAGATGGCCCCCATGAACATGGTTTTATACCTAATAAATGTTCAGATTTAGTTTTCTCAATTGGCTTTGGTAATGACGTTGTAGTAGCATAACTGTCAATAATATTATTATCTTTATTATCAATATCAATGCCATTAGTGTTAATTTCGGGCCAATAAGTTGCTGTACAATAATTTGTTGCATTACATTTTCTAGCCGTCTCTTTTGATGAGCACCAATAAGTAGGACCCCATAAACAAGCAATTTTATCAAAATCATATAAAGCTAATGGACTTAATTTGTCTGGATTTTCATTTACAGACTGATCTATTGTTTCAGAGAATTGTTCATTTTCACCATCTTTCACTGAAGCACAGTTGATTGTACGCTGCATAACGTATAAGTAATAAGAACAAATATAAAGAATGTTAATTAAAATGATCCAAACAAAAATTTAAAAAACGAATTTGTAATTATCCCCAAAACGTTTCGAAGCCATAACAATGAAAAGTTATTAGATGGAACGAAACAGACCTTCAAGTATTAATAATTGTAGGTGATATTCATTTGACGAAGTAGTGAAACTTCATCAGTTGAGATGGCTGGGACACGTGTTACGTATGCCCAACGACCGACTACCTCGACGTGTATGTTCAGTGGTATAGGAGTAGGTTGGAAGAAAGCTAGAGGCGGCCAAACCAAAACATGGCACAAGTCCATGAAGTCACCGACAAGTGGACTGAGTCATGTTGGTAGGTGTAGACTACCTGGTTGGGGACCACGAGATGACAGCAACCGATGGTTAGAGACCTTTAGTGACATGGCTCCAAATCGTTTGCAATGGCCCAGGTGCATCCACTCTTTGTGTTCTCCCAAATTCTAATCTTCTAAATTCTTCATGTCCCTTTTTTCCTCTTTCCAAATTTATTTCACTGGATTATACTCTTTAAATAACACCTCCAAACCCTAATCTTCCCGATTACTGCTTATACTCTTGCTACCTTTACCACTACGGGATTTGAATCGACAACTGCATCTCTGTGCTAAGGTGGTGTGGCAACTCGAACTGATGTACGTACGTACGAAGTTCTACGTTGTTACTGACTGACTGACTGACTGAAGTGATATTCATCATAGATTGACCTTAGTTAAAGGACCTATTTGTCCAATGATTAAATGTTCGCCAAGAAAACGCGAAGGTCTTAAGTTTAATTCTCTTAGTGATCGGTGGTGGGGAATGTTCAACAGACCCAGACTACGACAAGACATCTGTCCAATGTTCCTTTGTTTTCAATAGCACTGCAGTACAACTGAAGCTAGTCGGACACAAACATCAACTAGAAAAACTAATTTCTACAGAAATCATCCAGGTATATTAACGATTCGCTTTAAGTACTCTCATCTACAGAATTGAAAATAATTACAAAATATCCTAGGAACGATATTCAGTAAATTACATCAGCTACCTTAAAGTAGGGCTAAAGCCAACCCAACATAATGATCCAGTGACGGAGGCATCAAGTGTTCCTTGAAGTCTTGATATGTAGAAAACGTTGTTTGAAGAATAATGAATCAATGAGGAAATTATCTTAGTGAATAACAAAATGTAGATGGAATAGGATGTTTTTCATCAATACCCGGAAACATTTTGTTTTCATAATCAAAAAGTCGATAGGAACAGCTTATCATTGATAGATTTGTCCGAAATATCAATGTCTGATTAGATTTCAATTCACTGAGTACTGAATAGAATTTTAAAAACTCAGTGTTTTCCCCTATGTTTAACCTGATGCAATCAAAAACCATTTGTACTGAAAGCTGTCTACTATCCTCAAGAAAGTGGTCTCAGAAGTGTAGCCATTGCAGTGGGGAAGTTTAAACAGACTGAAACAGGCGCAACGATACTGAGTTAGCACTTTTAGCATTAAAACCCGAATAAGCCATTAACAAAGGTGGTTGTTCATTTTGTATTGATTGTTTGAATCTTCTTATTGACATTTAAAACTGCAGTTGATCCGTTTCTTATTGACATATGTGCATTCCGTGCGGATTGCCTCGATATTGTCAGTAAGTTACAAGCATTCTAAGCAGAGATGAATGTTGATTGGCAGTGGAATCCAGAACGCATGTTTCATACTAACAACGCGATGACGTTTGAAGCGAACGGTACTAGGTTTCAGCCTCGGAGCGAACTTCAACTCTGTGATGCAGATACACGCATCTGACGAGTCCCAAATTCATTCCATTGCCAGCGGACATGTACCTCTGCTTAAAAGGTGGTTGGTGTTATCACATGCTAATAACCACTTCATTTTACCGAGTGGTCGACTTTGTAGCACATTATAAAGCTTTTGGACCTACAAAGACGCATAACATCACGAAGATTCAAGTAGCAAAAGTGAAACTTTCTTGACAGTGACTTGATTTGCCAACCGAGAAAATTTATCGCGAACGTTGAATCTCTAGACCATCGAGCTTGCATCCAACGGTGTTAATGTTTAACCTCAATCAATCCACAACACTGCTTGACCACCACCCATTGTATTCGGTGAGTAACTGTCTTACTCAACAAGATTTAGCTTCACTGGTCATGACTTTTTACCACAATTCCGGAAATTTCCTCTCGAAGCTGATCACTAATGGGCACATGATAATTGTCCAGTGCTTCCAGATTTTCAATGATCGTCTAACTTAAATACGTTTACGATTACAACGAAAAACACGTTAAACAGAACATTTTAAATGATCAAATACATTTAGAATACATACAGCACATATTTGTTCGACATTATTACGATCACTCCTTGAACGAATCAATAGCACTCCAGCCTTTTCAACCACATCATAGCACTAATAACAAGGTATGAAAAATAAACAAATCAACAGTAAGATATTTTTGACTGCTAATTTAATTGAAATAATAAACATCTCTACACGAAAACAGAAATATTCATTAATTTGAACAGCTATGTACACACACATTGTAAGAGGTAACCGTCGGGTAGTTACGATCAACGTGAAACCTTACAAAAATCCCCAGTTGTCCAAGTTGTTACATCACAACGGGACAGTGAGATCAAATCGACAAAACAATAAGTAAACAAGTCGAAATAATAGCTGTATTGATGACAGAAAGAACTAACCACAAAGAATCTAGTTTCAGAGGAACAAATAAATCCATAGAATAAAGAATAATTATTGAAACGTAATATCGGTAAAAGTAGAATATACTGGTGGTCTTAAGTTAGCCAACCAGAATTACGACAATCCCTCCTGTATCTTGCACAAAATTTAAACGGCAGTTCTAGATAACTTGTATGTTATTATTAACTAGATGAAAATTGACTGTCATTGATTCTTAAAATGCTCGGAATCAAAGATATTTATTATACAACCAAAATGTGAATTTAATATGGTGCTTAACCTGAATGATTTAATGAGTGTTTAGTTTAGAAAATATTCTTTTCTAATTCTTCCTTTAAATCTCAACCCTAAGCTTCTTAAGTTTATAAACGTGAAGGTGCCAAAGCATTGGATTAAAACTGATGTTAGTTCGGTGATGAAAATCACAATCCTAATTAGTATACTCAACTCAAAACTAAAGTATTTCTTTTAATGACATCATAACAAATGTCATGTAGTGATGAAAACTCAATGGGATGGCAACTCCAATTTAGAATACTATCCCGACTCCTAATATGTAAACTTGACCTTTTTCGTTAACTACAAAGAACAATTCAATATGTGAGGGTTAATTATTCAAACTAAAGTTGTTATTCCAGTTATTTCACTACTTTGTATTATTAATCATTTTATAATTATGCAGTGTTTTTTGATTTACTGACAAGTCGAGGTTGGCAAGATGTACTCGCAGTCTTCGGGAAATCAGTGCTTTATAGGATCCAAACTAGTGTTGCTCAGCACCACATTTTTAGACGCCATTAAAAAGCTATTCAAGCTATAACTGATGACCTGTAGAAGTGAGATATGTACAGACTATTAATCACTGAATAGTAACCAATATCGCGGAACGTCAGTTCTTTCAAGATTGCATGTACGCCTGGCTAACGAGTGTTACGTAACACGCAACCTAAATCCATGATTTCCTGTTGACTACCTCTAATAGTCTAGCATTTCAATATATTGCATGTGATGTTGAGTCACTTTGACTAGTGGCTGGATTTCACCTTAATAATATTCATTCAACACTAAATGATTAGACAAACATGACACTGAATGAGAACTTTCGTCTAAATTTGATCGAATAGTTTCAAAGTATTTGGGCGCCGAGTTGATGTGATACATTAAAGAGGAAGAATGTATTTGTAAAATCTCAGCGAAAGAATTTGAAGTAAATCCAACGTTTCGCCTGGCAATCTGGTCCAAGCTTTTTTAAGGAAATATGATCAAACATTGATAATTTTGATGCTTATATTTCCTTGAAAAAGCTTGGACCAGATTGCCAGGCGAAACGTTGAATTTACTTTAAATTCTTTCGCTGAGATTTTACAAACACATTCTTCCTTTTTGATGCCAAACATGACATTGGTCACTACTCATTGATCAATCAATTGTGCATAACGAAATCTCAATGGTGTATCGGACTGTCATGCAAATAACTAATCACATTCAGATTTTTGACTGATAATATATATTTTATTCGCCTACCTTAAAAAAATCATGAGTGACAAGGCATTTACAAGCAGGTTTATTGATTAATCAGCAAGTCCACTGCCATAAATAGCAGTGAATGTTATACACAGCAAAATCAGTGTGCATTTCATATAAATCATGAATAATCAATAGTCTTTTATCATAAAACACACTCATCAAACAAATCCGTAGTTATGTGCAGTACAAACTATACATGTAGTTTAAGGTTACTGATCTATCAAATAAATATAAAAATACTCTTACAACCAATCAACATTATATTATTCTCTTCAATGTGAAAGATGAGTAAATTGATGTCATAATAAACAGATATACTATATTAAACTATTTGATTATGGATTATCTCTTGTTATTGACATATTATCAAAATGAACCCAACAATATATATGCTCATTCGAACTTACATGCATAGGATTCCAGTCAACCCCACGATTTATTTACAGTTCTTGAATGGGTATTATTTCGGGGTTTCATGACAGATCAAAGATTGACTTGACTATCATGCACTTTTAGAGATGAAACAGTATTTCAAAGTGAAGATGGAAAGTTTTAGAAGCCACAACAGAGAACCTACTTGTTGTGTTAGTGATGACATCATCTTGTGTGAACAAAAGCCTACATACAGTATAGAAAGGAGTAGTTAGATATTACTAACGATTCAATTGATGAAATCCTGACAGTTCTTACAACTAATCTAACATGAGATACTTACAGATAGCAACTAATTCATTGGATTTGCTTGAAATGCGTTAGAGAAACAAAAAGACGAAACTTTGGATAGGATGTTAAATGGAGCGAACCAACAGTACTATCATATGAAACAGTTCGAAAAAGAATTATGGGACAAATGAAACATTAAATTTGAAAACGAAAAAAAATAAGAATACTGATAAATTTTTGTCTTCAGACCATAATGGTCAAGGGGAGTAAAGAATAAATATTGAAGCTGATAAGGAATCGTTGAGATTCTCTTATAAAAATGATTTTTGTAACAGATTGATAAACAGCTGAGAAACCATTGAATATCAAAAACCATTAGACAGCTCTTTTGTCTTGGTCTGAGGAATCGAAAGTGCAAAGTAATTCATTTTAGCTAAATGATCTGAAGGTAATATACTCAATATGAAGCACAAGTTCCTCAGTTTACAACAGTGCTGTATAGTGGATGATTAAAAAGTGTAAACCATTAGATTACAACTTATTGATCTAAAGAAACGACAAGTTCACGTTTTTGTACATTTGACGAATCATCAAACTAGTAGGACGACTACTCAACATAAATTTTGACTAAAATAAACACAAACCATTCTCTCTATCTTTTTCTCACCTGCTGTAATTCATTTTTAGTTTTGTATTCAGAGCATATACTGCGATTAATAATTGGTCCACCAAATAAATCCCATTGTAACAACCATTTAGTTGTCATAACAACACACACGGAACATGGTGATTTATTAATTTTGTCATTATTTAATGATACTGTTGAAATACTGAATAAATTTAAGAAATTTTTCACTTTTTGTTCATAACATTCATTTAAACGATTACATTTTTTAGCCAATTCAGAATTAACACATATCTCTGTTAATTTCATCAATTCACATTGTGATTTAAATAATTTATTCTGATTACTTGGTGGATAAGTTTTCCAACCATTGGAACTGCAATAATTTACAGCATTACACATTTTTGCTGTACTGTAATCCCGACACCAATAAGTTGAGCCTAAAAGGCATGGATTTTGTTCGGATAAACTCCAAGCTGGTATTGATTGGCAGAGCGAAATTGTCTTTAATAAGATAATTTAATAAAAAACAATGATAAACATGACAGGAAAGAAGTTTAATAATTTGTATGAAATTATTTAAGCTCATTTACGCCAACAACAACAACAACAACTACTACTACCAAAAACGAAAGAAAAACGACAAGAATGAATGTATTTGATCGTTTAAAGATAAGAATTGTCACAATACGTGTTTCTAATTTGATGTGAATGTGGTCTAGCTTCAAATGACTCATGAGTTCAATCTGTGAAAATTTCTAAAAATCTCCACAAAACACATTCTGAATGTTATGTGCTATAGCCTGTAAATTATCAAGTGACAAGATCGCCAATCAGAGCGCCGACTTATATGATTCTGACACTGTGCCAAACCAATGATGCTTTAACCAGCACGAGCAGCCTAGAGTCAACTCTCAGTACTTATTGCCTAGTCCTTTCCGTTTGAGTCTAGAACACAATCTCAACTTCCAATGAATGAATAATGTATTTCAGACATATGTAATTTATATATAAGCAAATCAGACCGCCTCAACGATTAAATATAAAATAACTATTATACAAGATCAAGCCAAAAGTGGTTGTGAGTGTGAGAGACTGTACCTAATAGATTGTGAATAAATGAAACAAAGTAACCACCACCTAACGATTCTTGACCCTTCAGAAATACAAGTTAAAATTAGTAATTTGAAGTAATGGGCGTATCAGTTCTAAAAGATTTTATATCAGAAAATACAAACACGACACATCAACGTATCATCTTACACGATAACCGACCAATTCCATGGTTGCTGTGACAAGATGCGATCATCTGATAATCAACAAATTGGGAATAATATAATAAGCAAAATTTATGGTCAATTAGTAATACTAACGCTACGTCAACTGTATTGTATGGACGACATGTTTTTTGATTAGTATAAATAAAACATGTTTCAGTGATATTAGTATTGATGTACATTGCGAGGAGGGATGATGAAACATTCAACTCGGAGTATCACAGCTCCATATTCCACAACGTATTAACCACCACTTTATATTTCTACCAGCGTGCATTATCTTTTATACACAACGTGTAACACGTAATCTGAATGCGTAATCTTCCTTTGGAGTTACATTCTTATTTCAAAATAACTGAGTTATATCATATTCAACTGCAACGAAAAATGAAAAGTATGACTTCTGCAAAAAAGAACGTTCAATAATTGGGAATATAATGAAGACAAATTGGGAAACCGATGACCAGTTTCATCTCAACAACTTCCGTAATATAAATATACAGATTCAATAATAAGCATAAATGAAGTATATATTCTATTAAAATCTTAGGCAAAAATAGATTACAGACGAAAATGAGCGAATTTTGTCGACTATATGAAGAAAACAAAAAAATCTTACTTGACATATCTGCTCTGGTGTATAATTATTTTCTATTAGTTTAATGACATCATCGAAATAACGATCAATCAATTCGGAACACTAGAAGATGAAGAAACACAAGAAATGCATATACAAAACTGATTAGTAGAAGAGATTTTGTAAAGAATGGTTTGATTTATAGATTATATTCGTCACAGACTAACCTCAGTAAATGTACCATTGAAAACCTGTTTCGTTTTATCGCGGGACTCTTCAGTACAACACGCCGACCCTGCCAGGGACTAAAACGAGGATATTGGACTTGGATTCGAGGGACTTGGCACAATATATCCTAGTTTCCAATGGTATTCTAACTAAGGCCAATTAATCGAATGATTGAATTCCGCATCAATGTTAATGACTTTTAAACTAGTTCATGTTGCGTTCACTAATTATGCAATCATCTATCTATCTATCTGAAATAATGTTAATGGCGTAATTTTTTCTATCTTATACACAACACTATTTCTAACCATTTCAATCAATCATTTTATATTATATTTACCACTTAATCACAATTAAAATATTTTAGAAACGCTAACAATATTCATATGACCTAAATTTCTTAATATATATTTTCTCTTTCTTTAAAATCGATCTCATAGAAACTTGATTAGTGATATTACAATATCACAATGGGCTTTAGAATAAATTCCTAAAGGTTACATAATGAGAAGCTATGAAGCTATAAAATCAGACAGTTGCAAGGGATTTATGACAATTGCTGAAAAATATGCTACATATTACCAGTCATGCTGTAATATATTGATGATCAATGAGGATCCATATTTAGTGGGTAAACATTCATCATGCATATTACTGTAAGAGGATGTGTAGGTGGTGAAAAACTGTACTAACTTATCAAGTACAGATGTTCAGCTTCAGGTTACACTGTTTCTTTGAGAAATAGTGATTCTATCCAATTGTTCAAAGCGAAGATAATGATGAGCAGACCTCGAATTTACAATCCACATATCGAGACCTGAGTGGTTGTAATATCAAGTCATCACTCTAAATGAGGAGTACAATCACGATTATCATCGACAGACCCCTTTAACTTCATGTTTATATTTGAATTTCTATTGAAATATTTTTTATTAATAATCACGTGATCACTATTATTATTCGAATATTTTTAATCACACTAAATGTGAGGTCAATAAATGAAACTTATCAGCAAACACCTAAACTGTTAGAATCTTGTGGTTTGCTCAAATAAAAACTAATGAGTATCATTTTGTCCGATTGGTCCTTTTCATAATCATTTGTAAAGCAAGAACATCAAGGAATTTTCAATGGGAAGACATATGTATTGGACGTTGGTTATTCAGTAGATCCCGGTACTCTTCTAAGTGATAAACAGACAGAATAATCACAGGCTTCTGTGACATGCAGAAGACGCTATTTGCAGCTTCAACCCCAATTGATGAGTACAAAATGAGCTTGTGTTTCACTAGACACTACTTTGATAACCGCTTCACTGATAGCCGCACCCTGTATATTTTATCTCACCTTTTTAAAATATTTGCAATTTGCTGTATGTATGTTTGACCTCTTTTTGAGAATAAAGAGTATAAGAGCTAATGATCGTTTTCGATAACTTCCTGATTAGCCTCTGTAGTTATAAATCCAAAATTATCATTTCTGGGTTACAATAGACAAAGAATTAAAGTTGAAATGGTTCATGTTATAAATTGAAAATGCCAAGCATCACATCGATTGAGTCTTTAATACTATAAGTTACTAACAGGACAAAGCAACTTCATTATTTATTCTGGTCATATTTCCATTCGTAATTTATAATTATTTATTACAACTAATCTTATCAATGTAACACTACGCAATAGGATGCTTAATCCCCTATCTATTTCGTCCTATTTTCTGATATCTTCAAACATTATTACTATTATTAGTGTTATTATCATCATTATTATGAATACAATTGTTTTTTCGACAATTAAGATCACTTTCACCATTCTGTCTACTGCGATCATAACAATTTACTCCTGTTTCTTACATTCAATTACGTCATATCCACTCTTTTTCTTTTGTGCGCACTTATACATTGGACTTGTATGAATATATGGAAAGTAATTGTAATTATTTGTCATCAAAGTAAATGTGACTGCATGCATGTTACACATATAATTAGATTTGTAAATCATTTCATTGATTTATACAAATTAGCGGCATATTTAGAGGACTTAAAGTACAAACAAAATGAAATGAATTCACTTTATCCCAAAATCGTTGTTATTCATTCTTGACTAAATGAGTATTATTGATAACTTACTCTATCTGCATAGCCAGCAGGTAGAACGGAACATGCATTTTTAATCAGATGTTTCAATTCCTCTTCTGTTTTATTATTTTGAAGTTGTCCATAAAGTGTTTCAACGAAAAATTTACAGGTTAAACAAACATCTATACCAGATGATAGAGTTGCAGTCTACATCATCATTAAGACGAATATATATGTAGAAAGAGAAAACAAGATCTTGTGATTAATAAAATACTAAGCACTCAAAATTACGAAGAAAAAGTCAACTCAATAATAATAGAAAGATACTGCGATTTATTTGGAGGTTTATAATCGTTTTATGTTATCTAAATTGAATATAAATGGTTAAAAAAACGGGTACAATGAGATTGCTTCGTGTATAGTGAAAGCCAAAGTGACTTTTTAATAGTGATGTTGCTAGGCTACTCTGACTGTAACAATTCAAATGAACAATATATTCGGTATGAGTAGTTTTACACTGCATTTGTGAAATCTGGTTTCTCTAAACTAACAAAACTCAGTAACTGCTTCCAATTATCGTTATTACAGCAAGTTCGTTTGTATTTGACGAGCACATCATCCTTAGACAAAAAGAAACTATCCAAGATATTAAAAAACTGTACGAAATAGGAATAACGTATAACAGGAAATCATAGCATATTACAGATGATAACAGAATCTTTAAAGATCAAAATATTATTCAAAAATATAGAACAAGGAACTACAAAAGTCAGTTTTACGATAAATTACATAAAAATCTACATGGAAGCGGTAGTTTTTCAAAACAACCACTGTATCTTGATGATGAAACTTTGTTCAACCTGCGAAAGCGAAACGAGACTATAGTCTACGGATTTGAACAATTTATAATGTGCAATTAAAGAGGTACGATAAACGAAAGTTTCAACAAGTATATACATCCATTGGATGGGATTATTAAAATGGGAAAATCTTGCGCATATTTATCGCCTAACCCTATCAAAGAAAACCAATTATGAAAACAAACCACTTCTCATATCTTAATAAAATAAACAGTGGTACTTGCTATTTCAAAAAGTTGTTAGCACGGTTGAAACAAACAAACCTGGCCTAATGTTTCCCTGATTGTTTAGTTTTCATTAATTTTTTTTTAAATTAAAGTGATTACAGTCTCCAGAAAGCCCGAGAAATAGCTTAGATAAATTAGCTATACACATATGTGGATTAAAATCACCTATATTACTTAAAAGAAACACTAAAGTGAGATTACAGAATAAACAATGTAAGTTGCTTGCGCATACACCTTTGACTCCCAGCTGTTTTGAGAAAAAGTTATGGTTACTAATCAGTAGTATTGTTTGAATCCGAAACATGTGTGGATAAGTCAATCTACGAATAAGATTTGCTCATATATATTGTTGCATACCAATGGTGTATCGATTTCAAAAAGAATGTTAACGACATGAATAAAAACCATTAACAACAATTTGCATGTGACTCAAAAGAATGACTGCTCCATTTTTAAAATCTGCTGCGATAGTAAGAATAAAATTAAGAAAAAAAACACTATTTTCTATCTTTAACACAATCGCATATATATAGGAAAACTAAAATACTGATACTGTTATATAACTGACATATCTCGATCACTTAAACTATATTTCCTATTAATTCAATAACCAATTTATTGTTTAATGAAAAATTACAGAAGACCTTGATAAATATCAAAATCATACATTAAACACATCATTTGCACAGCTTCTTTGCCTTGCCCTTTACACACTCCATTATTCCTCTAATTCTGTTGTTATTTGGATTACTCTCAGATTTCTTTTCTTTTGTCTTCGTTGTAATTTTCTGCCAGGAATTCTACCACCGATAGCGGTTACACACTACTTAAAATTGTCAGAATAAGTAATCTACACCACACTTATACAATTGGTCAGTAATAATGAAATGAATCTGTGAACATTACATAACCATTTTAAAATAGTTACCGTTATAATTAGATTATAGGTAAATTTAACAGTGTTATCTGTCTAAATATCAATAAGCAAAAAGTAATTTCAATGGTTAAGATCATGAGTCAGTTGAAGCTAGACCACCATGGAAAACCTGGAAGCATTGGACGGCCGTTTCGTCCTATTGAGGAACTCCTCAGTAGTGCGCACCCACGACCTCGCCCCCTGCGAGATTCGAACCCGGGACCTACTGGTTTCGCGCGCGAGCACTTAACCACTAGACCACTGAGTTCTAGTGAGAAGTAGTGACCAGTGGAGTTCAACCAGGTTTGTTGTGAGATAGTAACCCACTGAAGACAATGGTGGATATGTTGCTCAATTTCGTGGACTAGTTGAAGTTAGACATTAACACCGTTGGATGCCGGCTCAGTGGTCTAGTGGTTAAGTGCTCGCGCGCGAGACCAGTAGGTCCCGGGTTCGAATCTCGCAGGGGGCGAGGTCGTGGATGCGCACTACTAAGGAGTCCCGCAATAGAACGAAACGGCCGTCCAGTGCTTCCAGGTTTTCCATGGTGGTCTAGCTCCAACTGACTCATGATCTTAACCATTGGAATTAGTATAATATCCACAAAACCCATCTGATATTAAACAAAAAGTAGTTTAAGTCCAACATTCACTAACTAGAAGGAAAAAACTATTACATAATTGATATTATACTGAAAAAATTTATTTGTTCATATACAATAGAACATTATTTGCGATTCATATCCAATAGTAAATTGATATGATATGTCATTCAATTGAATTTTCTGATACTTATCATTTAATAATACATTCATTTCATACTACTTAAATTCAATAGATACAATTTATGTAGAATTTAGTTTAGAATAAACGTTTTAACTTTTTATTATTTAACTCGTACTAATTCACATCATATAAGACGAAGTATTAACATTTCTATACATAAACAGTTGGAAGTTTACAAAAAATAGACTAATTTATAACGAAATTAGTTACTAAATAGAGTTAACATAAACAATTACACAATAAACTTATTATTCACTCAAATGTTCTATCTCACACACACACACACTTCGTCACAATATAACGAAACGAAATGTTGAACAACAAATACATTAACGTTCATATTTAGTACAGTAGATAATAAATTGTGATCATTCATGTTAACACTGTGATCATAACGTATATGGTTGTAATGAAAACAAGACATTTTATTAAGTAGTGTTTATATGTATAATATAGTGGGTTTTTATATCACTCAATTTACATTTTATTTCAAGTTACAGATTCGTCATTTCAAAATGGATTGAACACATATAGTGTCAACACAGTGTTAATGATGTTGAGATTCAATAATGTATGTTCAGATGGAGTAATAAAAATTCAACTGGTGCCGTGATCATAAAACATTGCAATTGGGTAGAGCTTAGATATACTTTACGAAGGTTATCTCGGCGAATTCCAATTTGTGCATTATTTGCCGACGATCGGACTGAGTGGAAGACGGAAATAAATTACCGGTTTGTGACATACAACCGTGAAATGAAAGACATCAAGCGGTTGGAGGCTGACCCAGGTTTCAAGCAAGTTGGAACTCATCAACAAGATATACCCGTAATCATGAGGAAACTGATGGGCTATGGGATTCAAACCCCAATCAACCAGCTTTATGAAAGGATAGGCATTTGCTGGTCTATAACAATAATCAGGTTAAAGTTCTAGAGATCATGTAACTGGCTGAGATGTTATTAAACATAGCTCGGGAGAGAATGCGGGGACTACCCTGCTATATTTATTTCATAAACGCCCTAAACTGAAGATAATCTAGCTTGGTTGCTTTTCATTTTGTTTTCTCAAATTGAAATATACCCTCTTATAAATAATATTTATTTGTTGTTGATCGATTGTATAAACCTTCCTATTTCTCCTTTTTCAAGTACATTATCGTTCCATTTTATGTGGCGCATTTCTTAATGCCCGATCGTGCTAACATTTAGGTGTCATAAACAAACAGTAAAACAAATATTTGATAATTTAATAGTTGAATTCATAATATTATCCACAAAAGCCCTTCTCTGATTAAAATATTTGATGCTCATGAACTATTTCCCGATGTTTAACATTGTGTATCAAGTTAATGATGTTATCTCAGCCGACAGTAGATGACTAAATCTGGTGCAAAAGAACTACTAATAAATACTGTTATTTCACAGATTGAAATCATGAGTCAGTTGAAGCTAGACAACCATTGAAAACCTGGAAGCACTGGACGGCCGTTTCGTCCTAGTATGGGACTCCTCAGCAGTGCGCATCCACGATCCCGCACCACGCGGGGCTCGAACCCAGGACCTACTGGCTTCGCGCGCGAGCACTTAACCACTAGACCACTGAGCCGGCATCCAACAGTGTTAATGTCTAACTTCAACCAATCCACGAAGTTGCGCCACCGTACACCATTATCTTCAGTGAGTTCCTATACTAGGAGTCCCATACTAGGACGAAACGGCCGTCCAGTGCTTCCAGGTTTTCAATGGTGGTCTAGCTTCAACTGACTCATGATTTCAATTTGTGAAATTTCTAAAATCTCCACAAAACCCATTCTGATAAAAATACTGTTATATTTTAAAAAATTTTCTTAAGATGATTACTGTTAGTCAACGATTTGACAAAAAGACAGATTAACTTATCTAATAGCAGTAAAGTGAGATAATAATTAGGTATATTACAAATAACTAACAATTTGACTTTTGTATTAGGACCGACAAAATAGCCTTCTACAAGTTGTTTGAGACATCCATTAGGCATAATCTATAATGGGAGCTATAGACAATTGTCATTTAGTCTTTTATTTATAAATAGTAAGATGTCGCTTTTATCTATCATACAGATTTTTACTAGGATTACGATTATTGAATAAAAAGTAATCTTTTTTTCTTTCTTTGCTCATTGTGTTAGACACCTCTTTTTGGTTTTTGCTAGACCAGACAACCATCTACTGTTTTATGGCTAATCCATGCTGCTTATCAGTCAGTCAGTTGTAAGTAACACAGGACTTGACACATGTGTTCCGATTCAAATTGCTACAACATAATAACATAGTGAGATGGAACTACCAAGATAACTGCTAGAATAGTAGCAGTAACAGTGCAGAATACTAGACATAGACAATATGCCCCCAAATGCCCTGGTACGGTCGAGAGTGGGGAGAGTCCACTCTCCATCTCGAAATTCTCTTATATGGACACGCATATATAGCCTCTGCCAGGGAAGTCCTATTCACTGCCTTCTCGTGACATTACTGTTGTTCATGGAATAGAGAGGACGAAAAGCGAATATCCGGCGCTTTAACCGGGTTGGTGAGCATGGAGAGTTCACCCAGGGGAGTTGGAAAATCCTAATTCCAAACCAATGGTGCACATGGGTTCCCGTATCCTGAGGGGACAAATGGCGCATGAACCAATCGTTGTTCAACGACTACCATGGGACTGCATCTCCTTACGATGCTCCACTGCCTTGTGGATCGGACCTTTAAGCTGAAGGCTTCGGGTGTGACCTCCTAAGGTAACCACCTGCTTCGGTTTGGGCACCCGGGCAGTATCACAGCCCTCACGCAAATCAAATGAGGTTTGTGTGGCGCATATGTATTTGGTGCCTTCTTGTACCAATATCTATGTGTTCAAATAAATAAATAAATACATAGACAATATGATTTAAGAAAGAATGATTGCTATTTCTGGTAACGCATTCACCAAATACAGATTTATGGACTTGGCTTTGTATCACATTGTGTGAGATTTAACGATACTACTTATTTACACAAGAAGAGAATTAGGTGAAGCAAGCTTTGAAACAGACTTATTGGTTATAGAAGATAGGTGTTTCAACCACTAAGCCATTGACATACCTACTATGTGGAGATTTCCTATTTACGAACCATTATTGTAATGATTGTAAAATTGTATCCAAACTACATAATTTACTGATGTCAGCATTAAAAGCCAGTTTTGAAAAATAATGGAAATCATTTTTGAAAAGAGCAGTCACGGAGGACGGAAACAACATTACCCTTTATTTTGACAAATAACCACTCAGAGCAATAAAAAACGCATGAAGATAACAGTATTACAACAGAAATTCAAGCAAGAATACCGCTTTATCGCAAATTAAAATAAGAGCGATGGTTTTTTTTTTTAATAAGAAACGTGTGGTAGATACACACCACTTTTAGAAAAGAGTATATGAACAGTAGAAAAACTGAACATTTTTATACTTAATACGATGAAAATAGAAATTATTAAAATCCTTTATTCATCAGCGACGAATATACTTCTTAGGATCTCTCTCTACACGACCCGGCTACCATACTCGACTAGTCTCGTCCCCTGTATAAGTGGGACAATCAGTGTTACAAGATAGATCCCGAAAACGCTAGCATATTCTTGTGTTTAAATTATGAATATACTAACAATATTCTCACTGTGATTTTTACTCTCATTCAATTTAGTTTATTTGTAATATAACTACGCACCTGTCCAAGCGGCGTCCTGATTTTGGGAACTAGCCGAGTGAAGTAGTATCTGAAGAATAGCAAGTAATGAGAGTAGCCTAGTTGTATAAAGAGAGATCTTAACAAAAATATTGACTAGTTGTTAAATATTCTGTTGTTTATATCCGAGCAAAAAAAATGGTAAATTCGAAAAGTGAAACACTGAAAGCAGTTTAGATGAAGTTTTGTCCCCTGAGCTGGATGGTTTGATCTTGAAGCTTTCATTATCCTTCCGAAAAACATCATCAGCACAAACTCCAGGTACAAATGAAGTGTTCGAATTTCTCTACATATAACCCACAGCTTGTCCTGTAGACCTCCATCTTGACTGGTTATTGTTAACCTTTAACCTGTCATTGCTTACTTCTTGTATATATATAGAACCAAAATCCAAATTATTGGGGAATCCAATCGAAAAAAAGTAAACAATGACAGAAAATAAAACCACCCAAATCATCCACCTGAGCTACAAATCTTCTCCACGATCTCAACGTTGAAAGTAATTCTTTTAAAACAGGTATATTTGATTACTTAGCCCATTTTCCTTTCTAGGTAGCTCAAAAAGTATCATTTCATATTGTGGGCGACCGGTAAGCGACAACCGCCCTAATAACCTTTAATAGAACTTAGAACTGAATGATAAAATCAACAAGCCTATCGCAAGGAAAGCATAATTTCCAAATTCTTATCAGTCAGTCATACACAAAGTAGGCACTAGCACATGTGTACGTCGGTTCACATTGCCAGATCCCATAAGCATATCGAGAGGAAATCCTGAAAGCAAATCCTAGAGTAGTAGGGGTAATAACAGTATTAATTGAAATGGAAAAGATTAGATACTGAAGATGCTACTCGATAAGAAAATATAAGTTAATGAAATAAAGTTCATGGAAAAAAAATTAGAAACTTAGAATCAAAAGGGAGACGAAGACTGAATGCATCTGTGTCATTGCAGGTGATTTTGAGTCACTTCACACAATATCTACGGCCATTAGTTACGATAATCAAGCGGAATTCAGCTAGGTACTTTATACCTATTAACATGGCTCAGTTCAACTATCAATAACTTCATGAAAGGATACTACGTCTTGATTTGGTCACCCCTAGCTTATATCCAACGTAATTCTGCAAGCATATATTGTCACAATAAATGAAGCGAGTTCAATGCCTTCCATTGTATTAGTCGCCCTTGTTTTGAAAATAAATGTACGAATAAACTATAAATATAATCTATTTATTTTTGAGCTGAATTCCCTTTCACACTCTTAAACATTAATCACAGCCTAATATGGTAAACACTAGACAGATATTTGAACACTCCACAATCAAAAAACTAAAAGTGTGAAGAGCGACAGACTTTCTAGTAATGATACTCATTACATCAATGTTAAACAGTTGTTGACACCAATTTTTCTAAAATAATAGACAAAATGAAGTGGGTAATCAATTTTCTTCGATCATTGGCTAATTCTTATCCAATCAGCGTTAGTCAATACTTAGTGAACTCTGTAAAAATCTCCATGTGAAAAACTATAAATATACTAACGTTTTTCCTACTGTGCTTCTTACTTCCATCTAACTTTGTTGTTTGGAATATAATTTCCTTTCCTGTTCAACCGTGTTCTGATTTGGGGGACTTGTCGAGTGAATCGGTGTTCGAGAATACTAAGCAATAGGAATAGCTGGGTTATAACCGTAAGAGAGAATTATAACATTATGAAATAAAATTAAGACAACAGAACTTACAGTTTGAACTTGATGATCTTGACGTGGTGATAGTGACTGTGATGATGATGGTAGCCCTACCTTCTGATGTATGGGTGAAGCACACAATCCTATACTTCCACATATTAGCTCAGGAGCAGTGCCGTCAATAATAGCACTAACAATTTTCGCTCCGTATTTTTCGACAAAGTTCTCACACTGTGTATCGTAATCAGATGGTAGATATTCACAGACCTAATATTTGACAAAAATCAAGTATATAAAGTAGCAATGATAAACAAATTTTCTGAGATAATTGCGAAAATTTCCACTGACAATATTTAATGGTATGTAGAATAGTTAACTTACTCATCTGTAGTGAAATTTAATGTATTTGCTTTATATGACTATAAAACAGTGCAGTGTATTTATATTTTCTACACCTTCAAGTTTATCGGATTGTTAAAATGAAACGACACATGAAAACATGATAAACCGTAGGAAGGTCTATTAGGCTTAGCAACCTGAAATTGTAACAGTCATGAAAACCAGTGCTACACACCTACATAGATATTTTCAATCAATAAAAAGCACATGATCTAAACTCTGGGATGAAATCCCAAACCCTTTGGTTTCGGCTGCTAAACTAAGTCACATAAGTCAATGAAAGTTACAAGAATAAAAAGCTGACCAAAACTATACTGTCTTAGTGATACGTTAATAAGCATAAAAGGTAGGTTTACGATGTACGAAAGATTAAATTACTTGATCAATAAACTTCTAAGACTGCCTGTCCTAACGTCGGAATAACCTGTTTTCCAACTGTGAATACTACAATTAACCTACCTGTTTTAGATTTCTTTAAACTGAATAGTTATAAATGGTAACTGTATGTATTCATATGCTATCATCAAACAGGAACAATCGTTCCTATTGTTATGATACTAAATACTAGGAAACTCAAACTGAAGCACTACAACTCTTGGCACATCTACCTTTAATTTACCTTTTGCAAACAATGAAAGACTAATATATTGAGATCTCAACACCTTATATATGATGGGTTGGGAAGTAGTTATGGCAGATAAACTATCAGAAAGCTTCAAGCATTGAATATGGGTGCAAGATGATGACTTTGGAAGGGAACTTTACAATATATAAAATGTGGCTACCAGTGGGATCCAGGAAACGTGGTTCGTCCTATTTAAAACTCGTCAGCTGGATTTCTACTCCGGAACTCGAGTACCAGAGTGAACAGTAGGAAGAAAACTGTGTCCTGGATTCCACTGTTAGACGCATTTCATTCATTCTATACTAACTTGCGTCACAATGGCTATATTGAGGCAATCCGCATATGACGTATATTTGCCAATCAAGACTGATCACATTTAAGTCGAAATATCAAAAACGGAATAATCTAATCCATTTCCAATCGAACTAATTTTAAAATATTCTGAATAATCGCAATTCTGAATGAGTGTTAAAGAGATATCCATTGTAAAATTGCATAGCTAACAACGATAATTCTTCACTGTACGCAAAATTTATAGTAATGAATAGAACTATTATTATCATTGAAGGTCACCCTATCCGCAATGGATGATACAAATCTAAATTTTAACTAAACTAAAAAAGTTATATCTGTCAAACGGCTGATCATTTCAACCACATGACATTTAAATAATGTGTTAGTAAGTTATCGTGAAAAGCGCATATAGCAGGTACTTCCGAAATCGAAATCAGACTTCATTTTCAGTCCAGTCATTTTACACCCAACTAATGGCTAAAGTCAATAAACTAAATAATACTACAAAGTTTATAATGACTAATGAAGTAATATCTATTTACAACTGAATTAAATAAAAACCAAGGCATCTTGAAGAAATGACTTAAGCCAAGTTGGGAAACATTACACGTTTTATTTTCTACTTCAAAGTAGAATATTACAAGTATGTTATCATAAATTCACCATATATTCTACCCGATTATTAAATCTTGATAGTGATATTTAAATGTTAAAAATGGCCTATGTACTATTGATTAGAAGTAGTAATAGATTAAGATTTCCTTCGATAACAAAAAAACCTCTGTTGGACGTATGAGTCAATTCATATATAATAATGATAGTGCAAAAATAAACTAAGTTTTAAGAGATATCTTGATGGAAAAAAATACCAAAAATGTTTACTTAATCAGTTTCATGACTAACTACTAATTATTAAATGCTTGTGAACACTTGGAACTCAACAGAAATTCACTGACGGAGAATTTAGAAATAAAACATTATGTTCCCTAGAAAGGACTTCCTACACATCAAATTTCTGTGTAATCCTCTTTTCTTCCCCAATGTTTGAAGTATTCAAGGAAAACAAGCTAAGTTTGGAAATTTAATTCAGTTTACGTTGACTGGTTTATCCACTTTCGTGGTAAATAAGGTGCATAGAATGGCTGTATTATTAGCATTCTAAAAGCACCTCAAGCACATTGACTGTTGACAGTGCATAATAGAGTAGGATATTGTATGAATGAATTTTATAGTCTTTCAGATTATTTCAAATAGGTATAAGAATTCATGGTTTCTAAGTGATATCATGGCCAAAGATTAAGTCTAACAGCCAGGTCTTAACGGATCGGAGTACAAGTGACATAAACTAATTTCCTTTAATGACATTTTATAATATTTATTTCGTATTTATGTTCTGTATATAAGCATGTTTTTTGTTACATGAACAACTACTAATCTGGATAGTGGTCATGTCTTTCATTTCTAACCATTAGGAGGCCGAAATCAACAATATTGTCTAGGCCACATCAAATCATTGCATTCATCTGTCGATTAGCCTTCTACTCATTGATTTCAACAGTTGAAAATTTCGTATAATCAAATCACAGAAAACCTTCTAAATAACTCTAAATAGATCTTAATTGAAAACGCTTGCACAACAATTTAGTTTGCCACTAACATCTCATTAATATCAAGGAAAACCATTTTTTATAAGTTTTAGAATTCACCTTTTCACTCTTTTAACCAGGATTAATCCCATCATTTTTGTTGCGTTAAGCAATAATTAATAAAATAATCAGTACCATAAATAAAAACGCAACTGATGAAAAAATGCTTACAGTCTCCATAGCTAACACAATTGCAGCTTCGGTTTGATTACCAATAGTTAGTTCAAATATCTTTTTGACCAATAGAGTACATAAATGACAAACACCGGGAATATCCTGTGATGTAGACAACGATGGTAACATTGTATCACCAGGTATATTATTGTATTCACATGTACACATTCCAAACAAACTACACATCTCTTTAGGGTCCACCTCTTTCATACCATTGATTATTTGACCAAAGTTATATTCTATCGCTTCTTTACACTAAAATGTGTAAATCAAATTACTCATATAATACATAACCAAATACGTATTTCAGTAGAAGGTAGAGAAAAGCAGTAAATCCAAACGGAAATTTACAATGGGAATGTTACACGAGACGAGATTTAATAGAAACATAGGTATATAGAAAACACAAACAAGAATCAGGAAGAACACAATTAAGTTGACTTATCGAGGCAATACATACAACTATTGAGCATCAGGTACTTACGATTACCATTTCATTTCATTGAAATATATTACTTATAAAAGCGGGTATTTACATCTCACTACCGTTATCTTGACAACTTAGTCTGTATTTGATGGAGATAATATACAAGTATTAACGTGCATCGATATACTTCAGGCGACTGGTGATCTTATATCGTCTGGTAAGAAACAAGTTAAGGACACGAAATTTCATACCATGCTTTTTATAAGTCATTAAAGTTCCAAAATTTTATTGAAAAATGACTACCTCCTTTAAACTATGATCGCTGTGCAGGTAATGGATATGAATTAATCAGTAAAATGATATAGACAGTTCGACTGTATTGTGCGAAATAAGTTGTCCTCAAATTATGAGCTAGGAAACTCAGAGACGAGATAAGTAATCTCCAGTCATTTAACATTTGTGAGATTTCAGTGAGCTGAGTAGGTACAGAGTATTCCAAATGCCCTAAGGCAAATTCGCATTAATGATTGTACTAGAGGTGGTGGGAGTAAGATTTGCAATAGATAAGCAGGATCTCCAGTGATGATGCTTTACGTCATACAAAGACTGGAAAAGGTTGGCTCCAAAGTTACCAATGATAAATTTTATGAAGTACGGAGCCAGTAGTTAGAGCTAACTCACAAAATATCATGTGAATAAGGTTAAGTATTTACCTCTTTGACATTAAATTCGCACACCTGATCATTGAGATGATAAGCAGTATCCTAGTTGCTTAAGCAGATGTTTTATCCCAACTTCACGCTCAGCAGTATCCATGTTTATCATATTTGATAACCACTTTCTCTTCATAAACTTCCATCCTTCCTGTCAATCTTTCCTCCCTAGCTTTGTTTCCTTCCACCTGTGAAATTAATCCTGATGATCAGTCTAAAAGTTTATAGCTGACTTTCTGAAACTGCTTTCAGATTGTCCAGTTGAGCAGTACGTTTTTCTATGGAGTAGGTGTATTTTGTCCCTGATATCTTTAAAAACAACCCAAATAAATCTACTTAGTTAAATCAGCCCAATCATATCACTGTGCGTATGACTAACGGATAGATAATGTATATGACGGTAAATATATTTGGCATATAACGTGGTAACGTAAGAAAGAGACATGAAATCTAAGATACAGCAACTTACAGCGGCGGCAAAGAAGCCCATATGTGTGCAAACCTTTTCATCAATCAATCCCTTTAAGCGTTCTTGTATAGTTGGGTTCTCAACACCTATCTTGAATTGACTCAGTACTGATAAACAGTTTGGACAGGTTGGAGTTTCTTGAGATTTGTATGAAGTCCATTTATGACCGACACTACCCATTGGGCGTCTTATCCATGAAAATTTTCTATCTTCATTACATTTCTTTCCTTTATTAGTCTGAAAATTATATATATATATATATATATATATATATATATATATATATATATATATACCAGTTAGTAAGTTGCAAGAACAAGTAGTCGTATATTTAGTAGAATAATTCACAAAAAGAACTTAAAAGTTTGATTTCATTCATAGGCAAGACACATATTTCATACTTTTTCGATCTAGAAATTTTTACTGTACAAACACAAGCTCGTGTGCCCTAATGCATTTTGCTACGGCTTGAAGTAAAAACATCAAAATTGGTTTCAAATATTACACCAATTCATACATTTCAAATTATAGTAATTTGCTGACATAAGCTCTAATTAATGCATATGTATATAACATAAAAACTATCCATGAGGTAAACTAAAATTCATGGTGCAAACAAAAATGAAGTAAACGAAAAAAGTAAAAGAAACGATTTAATAAAATGCGTAAAAGAGTACAATGTTTAGTACTTGGGATGACGAAAAATAACACTAATTTGCAGCAATCGGTGTCAGGTACTATCTCAAGTTATGGTCACGTGTGTAATAAACAACCGCATTCGATAAATGCAAGCATGGTGATAAATTGATATAAAATATTATACAAAGGATAATTTTATAAACCAACCAGTAGTAAAGCACTGAAACGATACAACTACATCCTGTTGACATACTGAACTGTTCGCACTAAATTTGTGCGATTGGAAAATAAAATTTTAATAATGGTATTAGCTGTCTTTGATGTTTACTTTGATCGGAAATGCCAAAGCAGAAGTCAGCTCAGGATTGATTTAACAACTCTGAAACATTAAATCTACTGCGTGTGTTACTAGCAAACTGGAGCATTTCGGATAATCGAAAACTAAGTAATATATACTCTGAAATAAAGCTGGGCATATCAGACTCCATAATACATGCAGCTTAAATTATTTGAGGTACTGGTTACTGGTAAGTTCTGTATTATTCAGTTAACAACGCTAGGGTGCAGTAAATCTACTTGCTTACCATGAAGTTGGCCAGTGTGAATTTTGTCTTCACATTTACGCAAAGTCCCAGCGTTGCACAGATCTCTTCAGGACTCTAAAATAACTAAGATAAGTTCAGCATAGTTCTCACCATCTTTTCTGAAATGATATGCAGGACATATGGAACGTGGACATTTACCAAATTTTTGCAGTATGGAATTATTTCACCTGGAAGATTATTGCAGACTAATTCATCAAGCTGTGCTTCAATCTGTGCAGCAGTTGAATTGTCTTCAATAAGCTTTCGCATATCATTGACCAATCGTTTACAATCATCACAGAGTGGAACGCCGAAATTTAGATCCTTGTTAATGTCAATCGAAATGTACTCTTACTTTGATGTATGTATGAGAATCACAAAGCGTAAGGATGTTACACAAAACGTTATTGCGATTCTAATAATTATTTTACTTAAAACAGCACTAACCTTGATATATTTCAGTTGGGATAAAGCGTTGATTATATTTTTGCACTAATTTTAACTGTTAATCCAACCGAAAAAATTACCTCTTCATTTTTAACACCAGTAGCACAAAGCAGTGGCTCAATCTTGTAATCCCACACATAGGGTGAGATTAACCGGCAATCCGTGCATTCGGAAGAATTATCTATTCTAAACTGCGACCATGGGTACTTCTTCCATTCACCAATACATTCAGGAAGAACATTATGCTTTTGTGCAGAGACAGCACTTCGGCAAACTAATCTGTCAACCGTAGTATGTGAAACAACTATGGGTGATAAGAATATCACTAAAAATGTTATATAAAAAGAGAGATTATTACAAACAAAAGTCAACCGCAACATGTCTGCCAACATCCCAACTCAGTATTGCGAACAATCAAATCGAGTTACCCGAGAACTGAATGAAAGCAGTGAATAATTAGTTTCCGATGTGAAAAAACAACTTGCCATAGACACATCATCACTCAATTGATAATACACAATTAAAGTATTTAAAGTTTTACATGATTAAATTTTCATTTTGTCTCTGAAAATTTATGGAAGTCTTCAGTCGTCTTGTTTATGGGGAGCACAATTATACGCTATTGTCAAAATAGTGGGGTTTTTTGCACTAAAGTGTTTCTTGTTCAAAAAAAGTTTCGACTTGTAGAGATATATAAATTCCCAAAATAAATAGTTATGTAGGTCCTCGACATTGATGCTAACGGCATTGATTTAACTGGATACACCTAACTGAAAGCTCTCGGTCACGCATCCACACCAGATCACGAGTGCCGTGTTACACAGCTCTTGCAACTATTGGACAACTTAGGCCTAACGCTTCCCGACATATCGACAGCCTTTCACACACAACTTCGGAATCATTCATCTCTGATTTCTGATTTGACTGGGTTGATATAATTTGATTACAAATGTCTTACGTGTAAAGGCGATGTCAAACTCCGAATATCTGTGGCATCTTTACACATGTGCAAAAGGAAGAGTCACACTCGGTAGTCGACCTAAGCGAGAGAGCCACTGAAAAATTGAAGTAGGTTTAACAGATAGATAAACAGATGATCAGGCATACTCTAGAGGCGGCCAACGAATCGGTCATAAAAACACACGAATAGTCATCAATATTAGGCCATGGACTTCGTCTGAGCTTTTCATGGATTTTCACAGTTTCACAAACAAAGCGACCTATTCGTGGAGCTTATTTTCTCAGTGTTTATAACCTACTAGTTGACATGAATGAAAAGAAACCGGCAGATATGCACCATGGCCTGAAGGTAAGTGGTAATTCTGCCCTTTGTCAAATTTATGGTATCTACGTAGTAAAGCTGACAAATAAAGCTTTCACTGATGCTCTGCTAGAGTGCGGTATCATTACAAAAACCGATTACCAAGTCCAACACACTTCATATCAAATTAGACCTCACATAAATACTACAGGTTCATCAATCAGTGCCAAATCGCGCAGACTACCCCCAGATTAGCCGAAGATTGTAGGGAGGGAATTCGAAAATATGATGCAGCTGGGCAGTCTAGCAGCCCACGGACTTGTCCTTTACACATGATGCCTAGGGAGAATCAGAATTGGCATCCATGTAGTGATTACCGTTATTCGGATAACCAGACAGCTTCAGACAAGTGTCCAATTACCCATTTACATGATTTGTCTTTGAAGCTACATGGTAAACTGCTTTTTCCTAGACGAACCTCATAAGAGTGTAGAAATACGGTCTAGTTTGGTATTAATACATTTGTTTTTGTTACATTAATGATGGACCTAACCCCGAAATTGTAGATTTGTCATGATGTGACAATCCAATCCATAAGATCTTACGTGAAAGTCGCACCATTGCCTGTTCTGACCCGTCGCATCGTGACAATAAGTAAGTGATGTTTAGCACTTCTGAAGTACACATTTCGGTGGAGGATAAAATAATATTTTCGATGCGGTGAGGAACGAGTTACAAAAAAAGCTGAGCCATGCAATATCGGGTGACTGTTTCAGCGTTCATCATTACCGACCTCCTACAAGTGCGGTTAGGAACCAGAGAAACCACAAACTAATCTCTGTATCGTATTCCTCTTTGTTTAATATTCTGCTCCATGAAGTATTGCTTTAAATGAGCGAACTACAACTCAAAGCCACTAAGATTAAATTTCGGTGTCACTTCCGAACTAAAGAAGTTTCTAATTATGAATAACTGTGAAGGATAGTTCAAACACTCGTGCTCTTCCCATTCAAAATTAAAAACAAAGTGGTTCGGTAAGAAACTGTTCCTTAAATGGTTAAAAATCTAAAAAGACGCTGTAAGGCCAAAGAAATGTCACTGAGCTCCAGCCAAATCATCTGGCAGTCGGGTCACTGAATGTCGAACAGCTAGTCGGTTCCTGTCAATGTCAAGGACAAGCAACGCACACCAGTTAATCGTACGTCATGGACTGGCCCATGCGACGGTAGTCTTGCTTTCCCTTGTATCTACTTTAACTAATATATTTCTGTAATAACGTCCTTCAAGCTGTACATTCTTCAAAGCATCTATAGTACCTTCATACATCAATAAGGAAAACCACGTAATGTGCTGATCGCAAAGTGTGGCTTTTTCGTGTTCCTAGGTAACCCTCGTGCTATTGATAGAAGAAACCAGACAAGTATTACTTTATTTAGATCTTCGCGCAGTCACAGTGGAGCGTGGGATTATTTGTTCAGACAATCAAAGCCTCTCAACATTCAATGTAAGATAATAAGAAATGTAACGTCTATACAAAATAAGGAAGTGAATGTATACCTGAACTAAACTGTTTTGACATATGCTTAGTTGTTTGAGGTGAACTCTTAACCAATCAACCTAAGCTGCTATAACTTCGATGTTAGCTGGATCGTCACACCATCCCCGTCAAACTCAAGTAATTCCCCAGTCATTCGACATAGATCATCTACTCTAGTGATTGACAACACTACTGCCTGAACAAATGCTACACAAACTCAAATAAATAAATGAAAACCACGTGAAGTAGATATACTGATAAAAGACATAATATAATTACCGCTTTCAACAGATAAACGTTTCTACCAGTACAAGAATATTATCTTATTCTCTGTGGATAGATCATGTACAGTTCGTTCAAAAAGTAGTATTTAACCCTGTAAAAGTACCAAGAATAAATGCATTAAGAATTACTTATTACAACAATGATCTTTTCCAGTTCTGGGAATGTGCCTCTATTCACTACTCAAAAACACAATTCCAGTAAGTTAAAGTAACACGATCAAAAAATTGGGGACGAATCTTTATGGAACCCGTCATAAACAAAACGTCGAACAAAGCAGCATAGGTGTCGTCCATGAAAATTACATGAATGTGATGGAAAACTGTTATATCCGAGTGGAGATTAAATTACAGGTAATCTCCGAGGACTATTCATGGACTAATATTCTATAAATATTCTTACTGTATAACTATTCAACAATTACATTATGTATATTTATATCCCTCTTATGACAAGCTTTATTTTGGCCTATAATTTATTATTGTACGATTTACGGTTCTTAAGTTATGTTCAGTTTATTAACTACTGCCTCCCACATTCACAGCCACTTTTTGGGCTTATTTGTGTACAAATATTATTTCCTATTTTATGGTACGTTGCTGTCTGTGTGATTGATATATAAACCAAGTATGCCTGAAATAAACGATCTGGTCTGATTCGATTCGATTCATGTTACGGGAGTTGGTATTGTGTTCTGGACTCAAGTGGAAGGGCTCGGAGGACATAGGACCAATAAGGACGCTAAACTGCCCACACCGGTTGAACGTCATTGGTTGGCCTAGTGTGAAGATTCGTATAAGTCGTATTCGGATTGGTAGATAAATCGTGTGATCGAAAAATCAGACATCCAAGGTCATAACAAAAACAAAGACCACAATACAAAATAAATAGTAACCGTTTCACCTGGAATCAAATGATAAACAAGATGTACAACTGAGGGAATGAAGAACAACAAGTTACAAATGTGTACATAGAGAGATTCTTATACACAAATACATAACACTTCCAAAAACAATCTTCTATGTGGGAGCTAAGGTGTCGTGGTAACAACATTGCCTAATTTTACAGATGACAATTAATGTCCGTCTCCAAGATTTCTACTCTGAGTTGAGTTTGATAGTTTTTGGAATATAAAAATGCCTTGACAAAGTATAAACTGGAGTAAATCAAATCCAACACTGGAAATATGAGGAAGAAATGCCCTATAAAAAAATCAGCGATATTAATTCGTCTGGTCAATCCCCTAATTAGTGTAGAACGGTTCGCGTTTGAAACAAGGCCTCAGTGAGTATAAGTCGTTTTCTACCTTAAGCTAAACTTCATACTTGCAACTAACTTGTATGCACCATCAGCCGGCAGGCATAAATATAACGAAATAATCTATGTCAAGTCAGAATAGTGAGTCTGGAGTATGTCTTTTACGAATACATTCACGTTTAACTAAGTTCTCTTAGTTATCTGTCCAAAATGCACATAATTATCGCTTTTCACGTGTCGAAAGAATTTTCGATAATAATTCATATTTATTGGTAGTATTACTAAATTCTGTCACTGTTAAGTGATAAGTTCGAGACAATCTCCCCGTAATTAAATAAACCGTACCAGACTTAACAAACGAACTGGAATGCTGGTTGAAATTCTTCTTTTCCATGGTTATACATTTGTTCCTTCAGTTAACCTACCAATGCAGATGTAATTGAAAATCAACTCATACAGACAGCACGCCAATATGAAGGTCAACGAACTTCCTAATTTGAACCAAAGGTAATACCGATATCAACATCGACACAAAATTAATTATTTTTTCTATTTCTAGGCACAAAATACTTGTACTGCCTATATGTTAGGAATTAAACGAAACATTTCGAAATTCTAACAGTTGCGACCGCCTTCTTTCTGATTTATCGTTTAGCTTATCAATACCCGGAGGATCATTATTATTTTCGGTAACCTCTGGCGGGCGACAATCCCACTCAGTTTGCTGTCGAACCAACGTCACGTTTATTCTAGTGGGAAAGTAGTGTCGTGGCAATGGATCCTAAACATAATCCTCAAAGCTAAATATGAGATGACTGAGAAAATAAAATTTAGACATGTAACACTAAGAAAAGGTCAATAATGGTGGACGCGGTAACATTCATTTAAAATTGAATTAATCGGATAGCATGGCTCGGCCTTGCAGGTGTGGTCAATCTTTTGTGACTCATCATTTTTACTAATATTAAATATGTTCTATCTCCAGTTTTCATGAGTTCTTCATCATATACTGGTGATTGTCATGATACAGTGATTCAGTGTAGACAGTGATAGACAATGATCTTATAGACTGAGCATGACGAGATATACAATATTAGGCCTATTATTAGAGCAATACGAAT